ATTCCTTTAACATGGAGTCCTCTGTAGTGATTATGATAAGCTGATGATGAAAAAGAAAAAGGATTATTACAAGAAATTAAAATAAGAAATATAAAACACATGATTGAGCCTTTCGAAAGTATAATACTTTATCGGCTCGTTAGAGAAAAGCCTTGAGGCATAAAAACCCTGGCTATTAAATTGGATATAGTAATAAATAGTGTCCGCACCAAAGATTGGACACGTGGTTTATCTCTCGCTCATCTATGGAAGTGTTAGCTTATTCTATTTTTGATTTGTTACTGCATTCGTGAGGATAAACCTTTATGGAAGTGTAAAGAGTGTTTATACACTTTATCTTCTTTGTTTGTCTTTCGTTAATTTTTAGTCGTCTAAGATTTTTCGTTGTAGGTGTCCAGTAAAATAATAGGATGGATGTCTTTGCTAATGGGCCCAGCAGAGCCTAGGTAGGGGGGGGGGTACAAGAGGTGGCAGCGTGAATATTAGTGCTTCGAAATTTCTTACAGAAATAAGGAGTGAAATTCTGCAGAACAAAGGCACGCATTTCGAATACGAGTTGATATACTACGATAGTTGCTGATCATACAATACTTTTTTATAATATCAATGATTTTTATTTATTACATCCGTATCGCAAATTTAATTTCAATTTTACGATTAAATAGTTTGTATTAAAAAATACGAAGGTAATATAAGATCGCTATTATAGAAATGAATGAAAGTTATTTGGATAAAAGATTTCAGAGAAGGAATATCGATCATCGTTTGAGTGAGAGAAGCTTTCCATGAATGCAGAGATCTTAGTTGGATATTAAAAATATTTAGGAAATGACGTGTCTCGAAAGAGAAATCGTTTCTGTTTCATATATATTATATTTTTTAGTAAGAAAAAAGAAGAAGAAGAGAAGGAAGAAATAAAGAAAAAAAGAAAATGGAAATAAACGATCGTTCTTGAAAGGAAATTCGTAAAGCGTTTATCTTGAATCTCTTAAACGAGATCATCGGATTCGTAGCAACTCGCCTGAAGCGACTGAATTCGATAGTTCGACTCGATTATCGGCAACGTGCGCATTCTATTAGTATTAACTCTCCAATAATGATGGGATTGCACTGACACCTCAGTAGGAATTGTTTCTACGTTTCTACATTTCTACAAAACCTTCGGGTTGCTTTTCCACTTTTCCCTCATAACAAACTAAGTGAACACACGGATAAAGTTCAGAATTTCTCGCGGTGGTTTACAATTGGACAATGCCCTGAAGCTTTGACTATGTCGATTCATTTGCTGTGTACGACGATGTGTGAGTGCTACCGAGCGAAATGCGTCGAGAGTACATCGCGAATTGTCGTTTTCTCTTACTCGGCCGAGTGGCTCAACGCAAAAGTTCGTTCGGAAGCTAGTTCGTGTTGAATGTTCATCTTTATTCTCGCCCACAGAACGTATACATATATGTATATACTTCTGCGTATAGAGAATCAGTTGAAAAAGCAACGAATTTTTACACACATTCGACGACTAACGCATCGAATCAACTTTGTGTGTGTGTATTTTGTGATACCTACATACTCTACCTTTCTCTATGTTCCGTATCTGCCTCTTCGTGATCACACATGTGTGTAGAAGTGCGCACTTGTATCGCAGTCGGCTAAAATGTGGCTGACTGGTGCACCGAAAGAGGATGAGTCAATGGCGAATTGTGAAAGAGAAGGAGACCAAGTGGGATGAACGTACAAGAGTGAGATAGTGAACTAGGGAGAAAGGAAGAGAGAGAAAGAGTGAGATCCAATGTAAAGAGGGCACCGTTTGAAGCTTCGATAGGATTGGATATCGCACTGGGTAATCACATCGCTCGTGGAACCACTAGCACGTTCCCGCATATTGAACGTAGGCTCCACAACCTTGCCCACGCACTTATTCGCATAGTTTCGGTCCAGCCGATATCGCATTTCTAGCTTGTCTGGAAATGAAAAAAAAAGAGAGAGAAACAGAGGGACATGTCTGATTCATAAATTTTTTATACCAACCTCTTCGACGTGGCTTTGTTTTCTCTTGCTCGTACGATTCTTTCTATAGGTTTATCTCGTTTTCTTTTTTGTTTGTATATTTATAGCTTCTCATTGTGATATCCAAGTGTATGCTATACACGTGTAGTTAAGTGAGAAATAATAATAATTTTTAGGGAATATATTCAATTGTTCATTTTGTTTTAAGTGTAGCAGATGAAAATGTCATATGTATACAAATGACAAATTAAAGAAATAAAAATATTTAGTTTATGTATTCTTTTTTATAAGATTGAATTGTTTATGAAAGAATAAAATTGAAGCTTGTCGTTGAGATAATACTTATCTCAATATTCATCTTCTCGTACTAATTAAAGCGAGATGTCCCTCATAACATTACAAATTTATGTTTGATCGACAGCCCGCAAGCGTTAATGTACACGGTAATAATTTGATAATGATCGCTATAATGAAGGTACATGCATTTTGATCGTTGTGACTACTTCAATCTATTCTCATGTTTTTTTTTTTGTAACTAACTTTTTTCTACTCGATACTGTAAGAAAGCATTAAAAATTAACTACGATGTGATATGAATTACTATCACGATTATATTATATCAAAAATATGGGTCAACTTTAAATTCGAGTAGTTGTAACGTTACATTTATAATTGCTTTTAAGAACAATAATTTGAATTTGGCATGAAAGCTAGATAAAATATTTAAAACGAAATAAAATGTTGTTAAAATTGGATAAATCATTTTATACGAATAATTTTAAAATGGATGATTATTTTTAAAAAGTGTATTCAAGAGAACGTTTATATATCGACGTTTATTTTCGGATGCAAGTGGTCCCATAGTATCATAATTTAGCGATGACGGGAGACGAGCCGCGAATTTTGATTTTGCACGTTCTCTCGTTCGCGAACCGCGATAAATTTTATCATGTTTTACGTGCTTCCACACGGCTTATCGGCGAATATCAATGTAACTGTCGCGTTTCCTAGATGGCATACTTACTCAGCCGGGTTTGCACGAAAAACCGTGACTATGTGCTATTTATAATTCCGGCCACGTTATCGTAGCTCGTCGTTTGACGGCTTCGGATCACGTTACCTGTGTTACACTTTTGCATTAGTTTTATATATCTATGAGTTTTCCTACGAGTTGATAATTTATTCCTTTTTCTTTTTAATAGACGTAATTAATTTCTTTGAGAAGTTTATTTCTTTATATAATACTATATTATATTAGTATTAAAAATAATATTAATAATTATTATTATTGTACACAGTTGGATTAAGTTATAAGAAAAATAATTATTTAAAAATATTGCCTTTAATTTTAATTTAAAAATTTCGAGAGTAAAGTTTCAAGGAGCTATGATACAAAAGCTTTACATTCTTTTTTCAGTCTATTGTTATATTAATATTCGAGTATATACATGAATTTTAATAGTGGAGGAAGCTCATAAAATGCCATTCTCAATTTCGTAAGCATGAAAATAAAACATGAGTGTGATGTGATCCGAGATACAGTACAGTCAATGTATATTCAGTTGCTCACTAGCTATCCGTATGTATAATATAATATATGCATTCCGTCTATGTTCAACCAGAAGTCATTCACTAACATTTATGCTAATCTAAGTTATTGCTCCTCAATCAAATTTTTAATGAAAATCTTCAGGTTTGGGAAAAGTATATTTTTTGTTAATACATTCACACATTACCAATAATGCTTTTAATGGAGTAATGACTACTTTTAATTGAATTGTATAGTAAATTTTAAGTAATGTAAGTTATACAAATTATTTTGGCTAAAAAATGTAGTTAGTGATTTTTTGTTCAAACATAGACGATATATGTATACATAAATAATATGTCAGTTTGACCTATTATATATATATATATATATATGTGGGATTCCCCTTCTTCTGTTAGTCTTTCTAAAGGATATCTAACGAGTAAAAAGGAAAGAATTCCGCGGTGTTATTAATAGGTTGATGTAGAAAGAAAAACCTCTCTTCACGGATATGCAATATATTTAATATAAAGAAGTAAAAATACAGTGATGGTAATACGCCTTCTTTGCTCGGCTACTAAACGATGACTGCCTCTTGGTTTCTTTTCTTTAATTTACTTCCTTGGGTGACGCTCTTTCTATCGTTATTCGGCTGTTTATATTACATAGTTTATCCTTTGCCTAACTATATCCGATAAGTACTCTCTGGCCCACTCATGCTTAAGTGTTCTCACTCACATTCTCGCACCCCACATATATATATATAATTCGTAATTTTTATTATTACTTTTAAATTGTATATATCACTTTCAAATATAGCTGCTTATATATATAATATAAGATACGAATATATGTAGGAAAATATTTATGAAACAAATTAAATATACATAACTTGGTCAATTCGTTGTCGTTCTTGTCTGACAGTGTTAATATTCTTTCCTTCCTCCTTGGTTGGAGCTAGCCATCGTTTTCTCGCCAGCAATGTCCGCTAATATACCCTTGATGAATGTAGCAAGGATGTTAGGTAAAACATGTTACCGGTATACTCGGTGAACAGCGGAAACTCAAGGAAATACCGTGCGAAATCTTCTTCCGACGTCGACGTGGAGGAGACACAGCCCACCGAAATTCGTTCTCGACAGGAAAGCAGGTTTCTCCCGAATAGAAACGAAAAGAGAGAGAGAGAAAGAGAGAGAAATCTGTGTTCGTCGTTGGACTTTGGCCGTACTGTTACTCGCATTTCATTTGAAAACCACCTTAAATTCACTTAGCGACTCTTCTCCATATAAACCTCGAGACATATTGTAATAAATGTTTCTACTTTATCATGATTGATGGATTTCTCGAGTTTTGTAATTTATGTTTTTCTTTTTTTTTGCTTTGCAATTTAAACACGCATGCTTTGCATACGAATATGTATGCGTGTTTACCGAGTTACGAGCTATATGTATAGTATATAATATAGTAATATCGTTATTATTTGTTAACGTTAAAACTTTTAAGATATAACTAAGCTTATTACAACTTTAGTCGTGTACCAACAACGATGTGAACGATGACGTAGACGACGACGACGGCAACGACAACTACGATAATAACGACAAGGTTTGTGAGAACGTGTAATCATGAAACTAGATGGAGACCTTTTATATCCACTGTACTATTATAGAACAGAATATCGTGTTTCATTTGTTCGACAAAAAAAAAAGAAAGAAACCGTGACTTATAATGCTTTCTTTACGTTTTCGTTTTTTTACAACATTACCGCATTTTTAAGACTTCTTCTTATCGAATTTCAAACAGATTTGCGTGAATTTACACGACTGATTTAATAATAACTAATTTACACGGCAATAACATCCGTCTTATTAATACTGACTTTATTGATGTTATCTTGTATATACAAATATAAAATTAATTTCATTTAGGATTTTTTTTCTTTAATTTCTTTAAATCTTATTGGTAGTATTACAATACGTCTATTAAAGATAAGTTTTCTTCAAAAAGTATTACATTGTAATTTTTATAAAGGTAATACTTTAGGTTGTGTTAATTTAATGAGTTTGTGATATAGTGATTACTAATTTTACTGAAAACGTTACAGTCGACTGTGATTATCTTCTAAAGTATTATCAAGTTTATTTTCAGTTTTTGTATAGCAAATAATAAGATTTATTAGTTACAAGAATTCCTAAAAAAATCGATTCGAAATATTTATTTGATTTTTTTCGTTTTTTATTAGAAAAATGTGGTTGATTTTTTCATCTTCTATTTTTACTTCGGTACTCATGGACAAGATCGCTTTTGTGATTATATATATTTTATTTTCTAGTTAAATTTATTTTAATTTGAGAAAATTAATTAATTCGATTTTTTTTAGAAATGAAAAAGATTTTCTTTTTTATCAGTATATTAACGTTGGATCTCATTTGAAAAATAAACGATTAGAAATGATATCATAATTTTCACGCAGATACGTAACGATATTGTTTCAATACATATGTATATATTTTAGATCCACGAAGGGAAACAATGAGAAATCGGAGATAGTAGGATGCGTGACTGACTATTAAACCGCAAACATTACGCCGAAAGTTGCCAATTATTGCCTGACTGCATCGCTTAGTGGCAGAGGGATTGAGCGCAATTAATTTGCGGTCGTAACGTGCTGTATATAGCTTACCGATGTGACCAATAACGGTAATTATACTAATTACGTTTGTGCTTAATATGCGTTGCGCGGTGGATATATTAGAAATTGTTCAATATAAGTGAATATATTCAACGAAGACGTTTAATGATATTTATTCCTTTTTTTTCAATTCAATTTTTTTCATTATCCGAACAAGAAGGAATCTTCTTCTTTAGTTTGACAAACGTAATAATAATAACAGTAATTGAGCAGAAACAACATTTTCCGCCATCGATTAAACACAACTATTATACAAGGATTAACGTTGACCGGTTATATACGTTATCATAAGACGACAGTTACTGCAGACACGGAGAATAATTGATTCAATTACATGTACCTTGCTGTTGCACCGTACTTGATTTATACTCTAAGTGTCTACCTTCAAGCAGATCCAGTTTATCCTGTTAAATACCTAGCATACAGATTTGAATCGTCGAAAAATCTAATTCCTCGAACATCTAATCATAAGCTAACTTCTTTTTGTGAAAAAGTATTTTCGAATTTACGGCTAACGTACAAAAGATATTTTATCTATTTAATAATGTTGAGATAAAATAAAAAAAAAGATTGTATACTTTCTAAAAAAAAAATGTTCAAATCATTATTGAAAAATTTGATCCATTTTGTTATATTTAAAAGTCACATTACAATTTGCAAAGAAAAGAAAAGAAAAATGTAAGAACATGTGGAAGAATATGAATATAATTTTTGTTATAACGCTTAATCAAGTGTTTTGTCGCTAAGAAAACTAAATGACATCGAAGGTATTCGCAGAAAGGCAAATTAGACAGAACCCTTGCCGCTTTCGTAGTAGCAAACATGCGAGGCGCATAACTCTGAGAACATGAATGTAACGCCCAAGCGTATGGAAGTGGTGAAGGAGGAGGTTAAGGAGGTGGAGAGGATAATGATGAGGAGGTGGAGGAAGAGGAAGGGGAAGGGGAAGGGGAAGGGGAAAGGGGAAGAGGATAGTTCCGAATGCGCTAACTAAATGCAGCTTCCATAGCTCTTAAGTGAATTTCGCGGCATGTACCGGCGCCGTCAGCTTGCAATTTCCTCAATTCGAATTGATCGTATGTTCGAAATTCCTGTTAGATTCTTTTTTCAACCTATCTCGTTTTAATCAATTATCTAATTTTATCTCTCTTTCTCTGTCTTTCTTCCTTTCTATTAATTATTTAACTTCTTTTTTGTTATTTAATTCAAATTATTATTTAATAAAAGAATAATATTAAAAGAAAATGAGACAAAAATTTGAGTACCTCAATTAAGTAATTAGCAAACTCGTAGGCAAAATTTTCAATTACTCATTGGTGCCCTGATTTCGTTCGATTCAATCATGAACTTTATTGATCTTCAATTTTATATCTCGTGGCTAGAGAAGATGGATGCTTTTAATCTTAGAAATTTTCTTTTCCATTGAATTTTGAATAAGTTTTTAAATTAGTATAGTTTAGTAATTAGCGATTTAAAATAATAAAATTTTGGATGATAGAAATATGAAAAGAAATATCTTGAAGATATTGTTGCTGTTCTTCTGAAAATGATAACGACACTTTCTCGATAACGCGTTAAAGCATTTTTTAATTTTTCACTACTTTTATGACCCTTAATACGGTGCAATGTTAAAGTTTTTTCATCAGGAGTGTCGTTAAATGTTAACGACGACGGTTAGAACTCTTCGATATTTTATTTACTATGTTTTATAATACTTTAACACGTTTATGACTCTTTTCTCTGTTCCAGTAGTTCTTCGTCAGGCAAGAAAAAGATACACAGGAATTCTCGTCAGCAAAAATTTCTATTGAAAAGGTTATTGTGGTCAAAGTTTAAAAAAATTACGAGTTATGTCTGTGTGTGTCTTTAGGAAGGTTTAGTAATAAAGAGGACGATCTGTAAGTTGGATGAAGCGTTTGATGAAACTTAAAATCCGAAGGTGCTGACCTTACAAAACGTGTTTCTTTCGTAGAAATTTTCGAGAAAATAAAAAGAAGAAAAGAGAGGATGTAAGACAGATAGAAAGAGATAAAATAGATATATATATAGAAAGTTGACCACTCGATTGCACCGTGTGCCCGGCAAGTGCACGTGACTAACACTCTAATTATGTATTTAGTCTTAATTAGGCGGGCGTTACGTTCTCGTGACTGCAGGATGCTCGCAACGGAAGTTCAAAGTCTCCTGTGCTGCAAGCTCGTAACACGCTAACCACGCCAGCTGTCAGACACCTTTCTCAACCAGAAATTACACTTTCCACGCTCTCGTTGAGGTAAAATCACTTCTAATAACGTTCGGCAAATCGTATATTTTCTTTTTTATTTATTTCTTTAACTGATAACTCAATATCGGCAAATTCGAAGTTTTATTTATTTGTATTTCTATATGTGCACACGGATATTAAAATAATTCGAAAACATATATACTTAAATGTATCATGCGTCGAATGGATACGAGTATTGCAATTGACTTCGTATTTTCGTATTTTCGTATTTTTATTCGAAATCGTTTACTACCGCTATCATATCTAACGAAACTTTTATGGTTGCTTGTAAACTAGTTTACTCATGGAAGATAATCACTGTCAACTGGTAGGTCGAATTCGAAATTATAAATATTCCGTATCGTTTGCTTTGATTTCGATTTGTTCGATAATTGTTTTATAATTAAGCGAATTGAATACAAATATTTTATAGAAAAAACAAACAATAATAAAAGCTTTTTCCACGAAAGCTTTACTTTTTTTCATTAATATAAGTACACTTCGTCCGGAAATTACGAAAATCCCTAAACACGATATTTAATTTTCATGAAAACTTTCGGTCACAGTTGCCGCTGCGATTTTTTTTTCTTTCTTTTCCTTTTTTTCTGTCCATCTGTCCGTCTGTCTGTTTATTTCTCTCTCTTCCTATCTACTCGGACCAACTTTTAGAAGTTAGATACTTCTAGACTGCAAGTTGGCAAAAGTTCTCAAACAGCTATAGTTCGTATCTATCGGTAAGCCTAAATTTAACATTTTCGAAGAGTCGAAAATTCCATTATTTCTGTAAAAGCCGTCTTGACGTGACCGCGGTTCAAGATTTCACGTTAATTTCGGGGGGAAAAAAAAAACACAAAAAGCGAAAACGATTGTCGTATTTCTTATAGAATCAAATAGAATTTTTCTTCTAAGAGGCTTAAACGAAGAAGTGGTGTAAAAGTAGACAAGGAAAAGTGGATGTAGAAAAAGTATAATAGGAGAAAGACTATTCTTTCGCGATGGCAATGGCGACGATGACGACGACAACGACAACGACGACGAAGCCCGCTCGAATGATTTTGTCGAATCGACAAAACTTTTCCCGTGGGTGCTTTTTCACGAAATACCACTCCGTTTGTACGTCAGAAGACAGTCCCGGTTCAGTAGATCTGATATATCGTCTCGATAGCGCCGTCTTATTCAGACGTTATAACCATTAAACTCTGATATTGCTTGAAGCCAATGAGAGAAAAAGTCTAAAATATCGTATAGCTTTCTTACACTGATCGTTTTGCCATACGATAAACGCATTGGATTATTCTACAATAAGCGGAAATTATTTTCGGGAAAATGATGATAAAATAATTACTGGTCATTCATCTCCTTTCCTATGCCGTTTGAAAGAGATTTGTATCGTGAAAATTTTTGACGTAATTATTTTGCCCAATTCTGATTATTAAGGATTCATTTATTAGATACAAGTTCTTTTTTTATACTAGTGGATTATTTGATATTGCTGAAAAAAAATGTTTCTTCATTTTTTTCCTTTTATAAAATTTGTGCCGAAAAAAAAGATAATTTTTAAGAGTAATTTTTGCTCAATTAAAAAACGTTATTTTGAAAATATTGAACAAACCGAGCTCGCCTGAAAAATTTTTATTTCTCGAATAAATCCTAAATTACTAAAATCAAGTAAAAATTGCAACCCTGACAAGTTATTATCCCAGAACTAAATTTTAGTTATCTATAGAAAATAGAATTATTATTATTATTATTAGGAAGAAGAAAATGAATTCGAATGAATTTCGAGGAACGAATAAAAGACTTTAAGCGTTTCAAATGCTTTACGTGTATAAATAAAATATAAGAAGGGTTAGAGTTGATTTGAAATAAGAAGAAAAGTGGTAAGAGGTTGTGTCCCGAGAAACGTTGCTCGAAGTAAGTTCGAAGGATAAAAGAGGCTCGCCCACGAACACGGTAACATAAAATTATTTTTCTCGTGGAGAACTAGAGTCCCGTGGGTACTTTTTCAGGAATTTACGAGTCCCTCGACCTGCTCGACAGGCCGGTTCACCAGGTCTCTGATATATTGGCTCGATAGTGCCGGTTCATTCAGACGTTATGCCCATTAAACTCTGATTTCGCCGCCACTACCAGCAGACGGTGACTATGCTACGAACCAAGGAAAACCGTTCTCCAACTGCTAGATATCTTTTCAATGGAAGCGTTCATTTATTCTCGCCGGGGTAAACGTGACAGTCGTCTGCGACACAAGCTGCTAGGCGAGCCAAGGGCTTCTGGAATTACGAAAGAAGGGTAGGGAAAGAGAGGGAGAGAGAGAAATAGAGAGAGTGTAGTTAAAAGCATACGAAACAGAGATAGATAGAGAGAGAGAGAGAAAGAGAGAGAGAGAGAGAGAGATGGATAGATAGAGGGAGAGTAAATTCAGGTCACACAGGGACGAAGACGATGCCTCAACGAGAGGATAGACTGGGAGCAAGTATAAGCTACCATTATTCTCCTTATTCTTGGAAGACCTTAAAGCGGACTTTCATGAGGCGAAAAGAAAGTCCAACAGATCTCTTTCGAGCATGCATGAAGACCCACCATGCTAATGAGCCTTTTATCGATTTTCGATTTCCCAAAGTAGAAGAAGAATGTGACAGTGAAATCCTCTGAAATTAGTTCTATGTGTAAACGAATCTAACACTCTCTCTTTCTCTTTAGAAAATCCCGTTCTCGTCCTCTGCAAGTTTTCGAGTGGATGAATCTGCGGTTTGGCTCCTCTCGCGAGCGACTAACTATCGAAGAGAAGCGGAAGCCGCGAGATGTTGTACCTCCGGTTTGAACTTCGAAGTCTCCCTTATCTTGTCCCGCACTGCTATCGAAACTCGAAGGAATCTTACCAGAGAGAGTGCCCCTTAAACTTGATATAAGCCGACGAAGTAAAGGGTAAAAATCTCTCACGAGATATTGATATGTACTTGACAGGTTTTACAAAGAAATTCATCTTTGAGAAATATGTTTTTTGATAGATTTTATCTTTTTTCATTTACAACTCTTGATCGAATTGAAAAGAGATCAGTTTTCATATGTTAAATATTTATTTTTATTTTATTTCTTTTTTGCTTATACTAATTTTTATATACAGTTACTTCTAAAAGTATTCGTAATAACACCCAACGTAAATTTAAAATAATTGATATTTGCTTGTAAAATGCAATATTTTAAAATTTGTATACACGCGAAAACCTATTTTAAGATTATTAAATTTTCTTAAATGATACAAAAATTAATATCGTAATAGTAATTGCACCTATGTAAGATATAATAAAAATACAATTATTATTTTTGTGAATAATTGCATTTTATAATACTTTTAAGCCAATTGGGAATATTTTGGAAGACCAATAATCTTATAAATTATGTCTCTTATAATAAACTGCTTTTTTCCAATCAAATTTAAATATTTAATAATCCTAAAATATGTTTCTCTTTATAAAAAATTATAAAATATTGTATCTCAAGAAAATATTGATTGATTTAAATCGACAAAGATGATATGAATATTTCTTGGATTTATTGTGTTTAACAATTAAGATAATTTACAAATTTAGGGATAATAAATATAAATGAGAAATATATAATTGATAAAAACGAAGGGATATAATGGAAGATAATAATGTTAAGTGTTCGTAGAGATGAGAAATTCAATATACTATCGACTTTGGGGGAAGATCAATCTGTAACGCTTCCGCTTTACCAATTCAAAAGTTTGCCTTGTTTTACGTCAAACCGCGTACGCTATATGAGTAACGTTTAATTACTTATGATACGGGGGAAAACAAAGTAAGTAATTAAGCAGTTCAAAGTAAAACTATTTCCTTCAATCTTCTAAGTTTCCCTTGATGTTAAAAGAGGTTCCTTTGATGGAGCGTGCGAATGACAAGTGAACCATGTCATAGGTCCTCTTCATTGTTGCTGTCATTGCTGTCTATATAAACGATGAAAATCTAACCCATACTTTCATATATACTTTCAATCGATTCATTATTGTATCCGGATTAATTGAAATTCTTTAAGAAGTATCGAGGTATCATCTGTTGACTGTTCTAAAAAAAGAAAAACAAATAACTTTCTTAAATGGGTGACAAATTTGCTTTTCAAACAAAAGGAATGAAACTCCTTCTTTCTTTCTGTTTCTGTCTCTGTGGTGAATTTCAGGAAGGTCTAAACATTGTTCTAGTAGTAGGTATCTGTCGGTGACAAGTAAAGAGAGAAGAGAGAAAGGTAAGTAGAGGTCATAGAACAAACCGAGACTTGGACGGAAGGTGAAATTGTCGGTACGTATCGATTGCGAATTCGTGCTTTCGTATTATCATCCACGCGATGGCGGCTGCAAGCTCGAGAACATGAGAGAAACAAAGAGAAGAGAGAGAGAGAGAGAGAAAGAGAGAGAGAGAGAGAGAGATAAGAGAATATAAGCAGCAGTGTTATGAACGCACGTATCCACGGTATTTCCCTGGCAATCTAGAAGCCGTGCGCATTACATAAATTCATACACGCTTGTGGGTGGTCGAGAGTAGGGTTGCTACGTAGTGTAGAGGGTAAGAGAGGTGGGTAGGTGAATGAGTGAGTGAGTAGGAGGGTGTAACGGGGTATACGTTCTGTACGATAGTGTACATTTGAGATACAGCGGGCGGACTACGGTTCTAATTCCGATGACGTATGAGCTTGCATAACCTAGTTTTCTGTTTGCCAGTCCTCGGTAATGAGTTGTCTAGTCCATCCCTTTCCTTCATCTCTCTCTCTCTCTCTCTGTCTCTCTTTTACCCTCATCCTTCAACCTGTAACCTTCCCCTTAATCCAAACCTCCCTTGCCGCAAGCATCGCGACTCTCCTCGCGTGGCATCGCGGATTCGTCTGTCGTAAATTATACGCCTGACGGATATACGTGAACGAGTTTGTATATATATATATATGTATATGTATATGTATATGTATATGTATATGTATATGTATATGTATATGTATGTGTATATATGATTTGAATATGCCTACCATAGGAAAGATAACCGAGCTTCTACGCTAGGTACATATCTAAGAAGTCTCCTGAAACGATATGGAGAATTTTCAATTTCTTTGAAATATAGAAAGTCGAAACATTTATTTTATTCGATCTCTTTTTTTTTACTTTTATTAAGAATAGAGATTTACCTTTTTCCAATAAGATGATATATAGCAATTCTCAAATATGTAATACAAGTTACAGTAAATATTGACATGATAAAATGATGTAGGATCTATAATAGGGTTGAAAGTTCCTTGATATTACAAAGGGTTAACAAAATATTTCGAAAACGTTTGAAATAAAATGAAATAACAGTTGAGTGTCGGTCATGGTGGCATCTATGTCAGTCAACGTGTTAAGCTTCACGCTAATGAGAAACGGTAGTTCCGTACGCTTGCGCAAAAAAACGTGCGCGCCTGGCACGTTGGCTAGCTGGATAACTGACTGCTGCTTCTGCTGTTGCTGTTGCTGTTGCTGCTGCTACTGCTGCTGCTCCACATCCGGTTGAACGATGGGAAAAAGTTGTCGACTTAACGAGCTAATATAATCTGTTTTGTTAGCGGCACCCGCGGCGAAACGAGAACACTTCCCGCTCTCTCTCCCTTGTCCTATTCACCCACTCCGTTCTTCTTTTTCTCTCTTGAGCGTACTCACGACAAAATAATAACTCGCAACAAATTTTACTGAATACGTATGTATATGCCTTGCCACTATGATTTACCTTAATGTGTTGTATCTACCTGTCTACGTGTTTTCACTGTTCTCTCTTTATTCCCTTTTCTCGTGCTAATCTACGTGTTATACGATGAATGTCTTTTCGGTAGCTTTCCAACATCAAGATCGTTAAATTGTAGGAACTGTAACGAATCTAACATGAGAACGTGTTACGAATTATCGCTCGTTAAGAATTCTCGTGCTAGATTTGTGACTTTATAATGTATTTTATATTATTGATTATTAAAGAAAAATGATAATTATTCGGCTTATTAGAAATTAAATTTGAATTAGATTTCTTTTGAAATTTCTAACAAGTAGTTATTCTTATTTATTTTGGTTTTTTCTTTTTCTTCTTCTTCTTATTCGTCTTCGTTTCTCTTCCTAACAGGGGCATTCGTCTTCTTACTTCCTAAGTCGGAACTTCGTTCGAGAAACATTTTCTTTACTACTTTTACTTTCGGATATATCGTATTTCAAATGTAAAAGCGAACTCGAGATGATCGGATGAAAAGAAGAGACTTTTTATTATTCGACATTTCGGTTACATAAGCCTTACCTTTTGAAGGAAAAGAAGTTATTTCTTTAACTTTCACGAAGTAAATGTTGAAACGTTTGATTACATTTTAAAGCTAAATAAATCGGTATTTTTCGTTCGATCTTTTAACGTTTGCGGTTAACCAGCAATTTATCCAATGGGAACACGATGGGGT